TATATATATATATATATATATAGATTTTTAGGAAGGTATCTATCGCCACCTATAAAGCCTCGTGTGTCTAACCATTTACTGTTCCGCTTTTTCAGACCCGCCAGTCTGAAGCGCACCATCAGCTCCAGCACCAACGCTCTCAAGAAGCGAATGAGTAGTAATAAACCACCGCAGATCAACCCCAGCAGAGCCCTCAATCGACAGCGGTCGGAGGTGTTCCTACGCTCACAGGGACGTCAAAGGTCAGATACGGTCCTAAGTTTGAAACGGAGTGTCTCGCCAATGCCGTCGAGGACTGATAAGGCCGTCGAGGACCTCTCTGAGAGCTCAGAACTCATGACCAGGGCGTCGTCGAATGCGCGGTTGTCTACAACTATGAGTGGTATTGGCTTGCGGCGGACGGCTTCCATGCTTGAGTTGGATGCCGCTATGGGTATGTATGTACGGATGGATGTATGGATGTTTGTATGTAGTATGTATCTATGTATCTATGTATCTATGTATGTATGTAGGTATGTATGTATGTAGGTATGTATGCATGCATGCGTGCATGTATGTATGTATGTATGTATGTGTATATATGTATGTACGTATGTATGTATGTATGTATGTGTGTACGTACATATGTATGAATGTATGTATGTGCCACTGCTGTGTGGTTGTGGTATAGGTTTTTTGTTATGAGAAATGTTCATAGATATACATGGATATGATATACATTCATAGATTTTCATAGCTATAATATACATTTATAAATGTACATAGCTATAATATACATTCATAGATGTACATAGCTATGATATACATTCATAGATGTAGATCATTATGATATATATTCATAGTTGTACATAGATACGATTAATATTCATAGATGTACATGGATATGATATATAATCATATATGCCCATGCAAATTCTATATACGTATCACAGAAAATTCGATGTACATTAATCCTTACAAGACAACAACTTGTGCATCGCCACCGGGATGACACAGCTCGATTGTTGGTTTGGGGGCTGATCTGTACATTTATATCATGGCTTGAGCTGGTTTGAGCAGTTTTTGCAACGCCCGTTTATTTCTGGATGAATTTGTATCTACTTGTATGGTGTATCACTTAACCACCAAGTTAGTTTCTAGTTTCCTGTACCAATGTAGGCATCGGCGTGTTTGTTTGAGTGTATGCGCGGCTGGCGTCTCAATCACAGCCGTCTGTGTGTCTGGCTACGCTCCTTTGAGGTTTGCATTATACGAGAGAAGTAAAGTGTTGTCGTCAGCATGGTGAAGACCCTTCTACGGAACAATGCATTGCTATACACATGCATATCCGTACGTAAGAATAAACAGTATCGTGTGCATGTATATAATCCAATGTATGTGTAGATGTAGACAACAATATGGGGTTGTATACGCAGATTTATAGGCAAGCGTATTCTTATGAAGATCTACACGCTATCATAGACACGTATATGCAGATCTCTCTGCAACTTCAAATAAACATACATACATACTCACACACATGACATATTTTAACCGTACACATACCCGTACGGACGGCTGCACATCGCCTACCACCGAACCACAAAACACCTGAGTCACTGCATTATATGTTTTCTGTGAGGAGTTTCAAGGGTTTCGGGGTTTTCAGTGTATGAGGGTTTTAAGGTTTTAGGCGTTTTAGGGGTTTTCTAAGGTTTTAGGGTTCATGTTTTGCGTGTACACACAAACTGACGCATAACTTTCAAAACGAAAATCATGGGCGAATGTATATGGTCTCCTATACTTATACCCTCTTATCACGCCTGCTCTAGCCGACCAAGACTTTGCAGAGGTCCGGTTTGACGATGAAAAGCTGGACCCCGATTCCGCGGCCAAATCATCGTGCGATGGGGGGTCTTTTGGGGGTCTCCCTAGCATACCTAGTGTCACCAATATGGCCAACGTATCCAAAGAAGTGGAAGGAGCAGACACGGAACCACATAACGACTTCCATGTGACAGGTGGACGGTCTACGATGCAGGTATCGCCCTCTAATCAGAGTAGGTTGAAGTCACCCACACTGTACCAGAGGAAACTGGGCAAGACGGTGGGTTGTTTGTTGGGGAGGCTAGGTGTGTGTATGCGCGTGCGAGTGAGAATGTTTGTAGAATGTAGAGAGGAATGACATATATATATATATATATAGATTTAGATCGCGGGGTTAGTTTATGTATATAGTTGTAGGTCCGGGTGCGTTTTACGTGTCGCTATGAGAAGATACGAGTACCTACTTGTACGAAAATATTTATGAAGATGCAACTGGAGTACGTGTTTCCATGCATGCACAAATCATATAAGACCGTTTCCACATAATATGTGTACATATCTATCCGTCTACAAGACTCCTGCGTGTTTGCTGCGTTCAGGATAGTGCACACGCATACCCCGTGAAGGGGCTGCATGCTCGTTCTATCACATCTCGAAAGAACCGCCACGAGTGGCATTCTGACGGCCACGCACATCGGTGAATTACATTTAGTGGTCAAATTGGATTCGCCACGCGCAAAATAAGAGGCCATTCCTACTCGTTGTCCGTGGATGTCGACCGGTTGGCATTGGTGGCTGCTAGCGTGTATAGTACTTTATATGCGCGCAGTATATACTCTATGGTCAGTTGTATTTAAGGTTTATTTTAATCTGTGCCCAAACTGACATATTTGGTCCACATCTCGCCCCGAAAGCCACAAACCTTACCACCCGCTGACTATTCCGAACTCTTGGTATTGCAATCAGGGTGTTCTGTCCAACTTCTCAAGTTTTTGATGCGGAGATACGGACCATAACCCAAATTTACCATACCATGTTTATTGTCTAGCAATTGAGGCAATCCGTTTAGCGTTCAGGATACAGATGATAGCAATCCAGCTGGCACCCACAAACCACAACCCGGTGTTACCAAAGCGTATGTATTGTATTTACAATCGAGCTCTCTCGTTCATCCGTGTTACAGATGGCCGGTGCCCCGCCTGACCTTTCACCAAAAGCTGTGGGCAATGTCACAACACGCAGCGTGGGCACTGAAACAAAGACACGGTTTGTGAACCCCTTAGACCAACCGAAGAGCTCGTCCGAAATGGTCTTCATTTGCAGAGCGAAGAACCCCTCCAAGGATGTATGTGGGTTAGATTTGGTTCAAGTGCACCAAGATATGTTGTGATGTGGTATAGTATACACGAATGCTTGAATAGGCATATATGCATATATATATATATACAAACACACACACACACACACACACACAC